GGAGTGGCGGGCTGCTTGACTCTCTTGCAGTCTTGGATATATGAGTATTTCCCCACATTCAGACCCCCCGGTGCTCGTATGGCCTCCCAGCATGGCAGCCCAGCCCGATCAACCTTGTGGAGGACCGCCATTCCAGATAACTCAATTAAGCGCCTCAAGGATTTTCGTTCGCGGCTTGACAGACTCACAGCCGCCGAGGTACATTAAGTTATTTTACTTGAAAGTTATTTAGAATATTCAAATTATTCGAACAAATGTTTTATGCAATTGTGAACAGGTAAACTGGCTGCCGTACGACCTCCAGCCGCATGTGTTGGAGCCTAGGACCCTTTATTCCAGATGCCTTAGGTACCGGGATATTGTGGAGCCATACATGCCTATGCGTTTCTTGCACCAGTTGGGCTACCGCCAGATCATCCCTCTCAGCATGTATTGGCCGAACACTGCATATCGTGGTTGGAAGTTTAGGATGTACAGGGTCGAGCATGGATCTACTATTGCAGTAGATCACTGGGGCCATTTCCACCAGCGATGGTATGAGCGGTATTCTCATCCTAAGCTCTTGCCCGATAGTCAGGCGGACGGCGAGGCTGTCCCTGCACGCGCCAACATCGATTTTGTAAGTCGTTTACAAAATTTTATTTATTATACGTTCATTACACTTTTTTATGTTTTATAATTTAAATGTGTGTATATATTTTATTTTCTTGTGCTTTGTGCAGTGGGTCGGACAGTGGGAGTCCACGGCATCAGATATGCATCAAGAGTTCGCGGCAGTTGCTCCTGAAAGGGCGGCATTTTTTGCAGAAAAAAATTGCTCAATTGAAGTCGAATTTCGATATAGCGCAGTAGTGATGTAATAAATATATATATTTCTTTATGTTTATTTTGTTATGGTTACTTTATATTACTTTATGTTTGTTTTGTTATGGTTAGTTAATTTTATTTCATCCAAACAAACAAAAAAAAAAACCATTATATCACATGAAACGGTAAACGCGTCGAGATATCACAATCTATCACTCGTAAACATAGTACGAACATATACTCACATGAAAATATGATGAATGTCAAATATCACAATCTATACTCCAGCTGCAGTACGAATATCATGCCACAACTGGAACCTGCTCTGGTAATGATCCGGCCAATGTGCAGCCG